TTCCTCCCTTCCTTCCTGCCTTCCTCCCCCAGAAGACTGAGAAGATGTATGACCATCATTCTTTAGTAAGAATTAAAAAAAAAAAAAAAAGATTCAAAAGTGACTAATGGAGTCTTTGGTGGTATGTATTTTACCACCCTGATATGGAGCAAATTAAAATTTTTATGAGATGCATAAGTGAGATATTAGTTCTATAGTATGGTTTGTTAATTTAGGTACACTTCAGTATTCATGCCCCTTATTTGATTATTAACACAGAAAAATTAAAATTCCTCTCTCAGTTTTGGTTTGTCAATGATGGAACCATCTGAGCCCCTTCGGACGAATAAAAGATGATGTATGCCACTTTTATCCATTCTGTACAGAGCAGTTCTCTAAGGATTTTGTTAGAAATAGTTTTCTACTGCTATAAAGAAACAATCTACAGGGCTTCCCTGGTGGCGCAGTGGTTGGGAGTCCGCCTGCCGATGCAGGGGACACGGGTTCGTGCCCCGGTCCGGGAGGATCCCACATGCCGCGGAGCGGCTGGGCCCGTGAGCCATGGCCGCTGAGCCTGTGCGTCCGGAGCCTGTGCTCCGCGACGGGAGACACCACAACAGTGAGAGGCCCGCGTACCGCAAAAAGAAAAAGAAAAAAAAAAAAAAAGAAACAATCTACAAACACTACTATGTGAAAAAGAACAGGAGACCCCAAGTCTGTGATGATCTGTTCCCAAGTCTTAGACCCATCATTTACGTTGAGCATGCTTTTTAAGTTCTCAGAGACACGGTTTTCTAATCTGTAAAATGGGGATAAAATACCTAAATAAGAATGATCATGATGATAATGTCTCATATTTACTAAGGGCTTGCTCTGAAGCAGGTAACCCATAGGTAGGTGCAATGTTCGGTCCATGAGGTATACAGAAATGATTTAACTTGCTCTTTCAGACTTAGGTCTAAATGTAGGAAAGCCATGCACGGACCTGGCCCCACAAACATACAGGCATAGAACAGAGTGAATATGCCTCGCAGGCTGGAGCCTACGAATGCATAAATCAGTATATGGTGTCGATTAAGTTTATTTCAACTCTCCCTCCTTCAATGGTGGAAATAATTTTCTCATGTGTGATGCCCTGGCCCAGCCCGTGGTGGGAAGGATGCTTCCTTTCCATTCCCCAGTGCCTGGCAGAACCAGGCCTGCCTTCCTCTGGGCTCCCAAAGCACATAAGTCATGACCCTCATCTCACTGTGTCATAACTACTGGTCTGGGTGTCAGTCTCCCGAGTGAGGCCACAGGGCAGGGCTGCTCTACTCCATCTGCTAGGCCCACTCTAGATTCCCAACAAATATCTGTTAAACGAATGGATGGATAAGTGAATGAATGCGTGACTAAATGACTTTGTTCCTATTAGCACATGGGATGGAGCTAAATGCTGCTCTCACGGCCCCAGTGAATGAAGCTAAGAAGGACTTGCTGTGCTCTGGTGGGGGCAGAGGAAGGCTGGCTTTGTGCCCCCTCTGACTTCCAGGCTGGTGACACAAGGCAGGAAGAGCGCGCCACTCTGCAATGTGCAGCATGTTCTGGTCAAGTGTCTTCATGGGGGAAAACGTCTTTAACAAAGGCCCCAAACATATCACCATACTCACCCTCCTTGAGCATTTTTTCTCTTAATTTCTGCTCCAGTCTGCTTTGATGATCTTCTAATTCTAGTTCTCGGGCCCTGGGGATGAGAGAATGTTCAAACTTTGTAAATACTGGAGATCTGTGTAGAAATATTGACTAACAAACCCATTGACCATAGCGACTGCATTCTTTTTTCCTTATTAAAACTGGGGTCTTGGAATATCTCGAAACTGAAAGTTTTGCTGCTGCTACTGCCACTGAGATATGCTGAACTCAAGAGATGATGGGGAGTTGTAATGTGCTCTCAGCCAGCTTTTGGAAGGCCACCCAGGACTGGATCGTGAAGAAATGACTAGAACAGTAGAAGCAGTGACAATCTGAAACTCCCCTCTCTTTTAGGGCCAACGTGACTTCAAGTATCACCTCTAACAACTCCCAGATCTCTGACTGTGGTAAACAAGAAAACACGGAGGAAAGAGGAGTGAGACATTCTGTCCGGGTGGAGGCAGAATATTCAGACAACTACCCATCTGGTCGTAAGTGATGTGGGACGCAGAATCAGTGATGTTTTGGAGGAGTCAAGCTGGAGTGCTGGGGACTCAGTGTGTCCACCGTCAGAAGAGCAAAGTCAAGAAGTGAAGTTAGCTTTCGGTGAAGCTCAGACAGAACTTCATGACCTTTCCATGGCTGGGGACAGCCCATGTATGTCAGAGTATGTGTGTAAGCTTCCCGCACGCTGGGCCATGTGGTAATGTGGAGGTTCCGCAAACCTTTGGGAGTGCAGGTCTGGCGTTCTCAGGAGAAATGAGGACCACAAATGGATGAGGCAGGGGTCAGAGGTGATAGGTGAAGCCACGTAATCTCTAAAAGGGAGGCTATAGAGCAGCGGTTCCCAACCTTTTTGGCACCAGGGACCAGTTTCGTGGAAGACAAGTTTTCCACGACAGGAGTGGGGGCCGGGGATTCCCTGCGTACTTCCTGAGCGCCCACAGTGTTCCAGGGCAGGGACCACACGGAAACCCCCACCACTCCCTTCCGCTCTGTGGCTCTTACACTCCGCCGGTGGCGTCTGGGGTTAGCGGAAAGTGCTCAGGGAGAGGTACAATTTCAGACAAGGTGACGAGGGAAGCCTCACTTCTGGGTACAGACCCAGGAAGAGCATCTAGATAGGGGGCCGGAAGTGCAAAGGCACTGGGGTAGGAGTGTGGCCGGGTGTTTGTGGTGGGGGGCGGGGGGGGGGGCGGGGGGGGGGGAGGTTCAGGTAATGCTAGCGATGGGGAGCAGCGGGGAGCAATGGGGAGCAGCAGATGAAGCTTCGCTCGCTCGCCCACTTTTCACCTCCTGCTCTGCAGTGCAGCCCGGATCCTAACAGGCCACGGACCAGTACCGATCCACAGCCCGGGGGTTGGGGACCCCTGCCATAGAGGAAAAAAAGGTTTGAAGACAGGACCTTGGGAACACCTACATTTAGAAGCCAAACAAAAGAGGTAGAGCCAGGGAAGCAGCAAGCAAAAGCTTGGAAGGGTAAACAAGAAATGCAGCATCACAGAAGCCAAGAGAGGAAAGTTTCAGGAGAGAAGAGAGAGATCAAGGGTGTCTGAAGAGGGTGAGCGCTGAGTCTAGGTCCCTGGGTTTGACGGAGGGGGGGGGGCCTTCCCTTCCAGCCCCACCTGCAGGCTGCATGTGTATCTGCTATAGCTTTGGGTCACTTTACTGTAACCTGTTGTCGCTGTCATTATTTTTACTATTTCTACTATTACGTGGGCCAAGGTCCACGCTTTGTTCAATACTCTCCCTTTTGTTATTGACACTCAACTTCCCTTGGCCCACCCTGGTAGCCAGTGGAAACGCACCACTCAGATCTTCCTTTAAGAGAGAACTCTGGAAGGAGTGTAGTGTGTAGTGAGCTGACTGCTGTAGCAGAATCCACTTCACTGTTGCGCTGAGGCCACACTGTCCCTGAGCAGCTCCAGCCAGTGAGCGAGCACAGGGGGGGTGCTAGAGCTGGGCCATTTCTGCCCCACTTCGGACTCCTCGGATGGGCAGTCTTTGCTCTGGGGCTCCCTTCGCCTGGCTCAGATTTTCTCAGGGCTGCACTGCAGTCTGAGGTTCCTCCTGCCAATTCTCATTCCCTCCCCTCTCCTTTTACAGGTGTCAGGACTGCATGGGGTCTGAAGACTTCCCTCGCACTCCCACTCCCTTTCTCCTTTACCACCCACCTGACCTTTGCCGGCAGGGCCTGTGCACTCACTGCTCCTCCTACAAACCTCCATGGAGCGCTCGCTATGTTTTCTCACTCCTCTCATGCTGTGTGCTTGCGTGTCTGTCTCCCCTGAAACCATGAGATCCTCGAAGATAGTGACTATGGCCTGATTCATCTCTACTTCCACAGTACCCAGCACATTTCCTAGCACGTGGAATGTGCTTGATACTTTTTTGTCAATGAACTTTATAATTCACACCTGGACCAAAGGCAGACGATACAGTTGTATAAAAAGGGCTTTGTAGTCAGGCGGAGATGGACAAATTACTTAGTTGTCTTGAGTCTCAGCGTGTACGTCAATTTAAAAAAATAGTAATAATAAAAGTAATTGCTACAGATGAGCCCTTCTTCCCCATTGCTGGCATTTCCTTCACGTCAGTGGAGCTCAAGGACTATAATTCCTGGCTTCTTCTCTCCACTTTCACACTTATACTCACTCTCACCCCAGGGGAGGTGAACTTGGGAAGAACAGACTAGGGGAACTCAGCTCACACCCTTTCACACCCTGGGGATCAGCCTGCCTGCGGCAAACATGTGTTCTCTGTTACTCTGAGCCTTGCTATGGGTCTAGGGCAAGATTTCTCAATCTTGACACTATTGACATTTTGGGCTGGGTAATTCTTTGTTGGTGAGGGAAGCGGGGTGCCCTGTGCATTGTAGCACCCTTGGCCTCTCCGCACTACATATCACTAGCACCTCCCAGTTGTGATAGACAAAAATGTCTTCAGACATTGCCAAATATCCCTGGAAGGAGGAAGTGAGACGGAAATTGCCCCCAGGTGAGACCCACTGGCCTAGGGTAAAAGCCTTAACCCTAAGAAGCAAGTGATTCACTACCTTTTGTGACTAGGTAGATGAGTGTGTCTAATTCTGGGGTTGGGTAGTATAGTAAGTTGCGTGGTGAACTCCCAAAAGATATGTCCACATCCTAACCCCTGGAACCTTTGAAAGTGACCTTATTTGAAAAAGGGCCTTTGTGGATGTAAGTAAGTTAAGAACCTTGAGATAAGAATATTCTGGATTATGCCAGTGGGCTCTAAACCCAGCAACAAGTGTCCTTACAAGAGACAGAAGAGAAGACATGGACGCACAGAGAAAGAAGGCTGCATGAAGACAGAGGGAGAGATTGGAGTGATGCAGTCACAAGCCAAGGGATGCAGGGAGGCACCTGAAGCTGGAAGAGGCAAGGAAGACTTCTCCCCCAGAGGCTGTGAAGGGAGCATGGCCTTCCTAACACCTCGATTTCAGACTGTCTTCCAGAACTGAGAGAGAATACATTTCTCTTATTGTAAGCCACCCTGTTTGTGATAATATATTAGTCCAGCCCTAGGAAATGAATATAGTTAGCAAGCCCACTTGGGCTCTCATATTTAGCCGAGCTAGCCATAATCAGTAATAAACACTTCATTTTGATATTCTGGGTCAACTATTGACCCAACTGTCTTATTTCTCACCTGGCTCAGAACCCAGGCAGAGAAGAGGAAAAGAATTTTATTAGACCCCTTCAAAGACTCCCAAAATTAACTCTCAGGGTTGGGGTGAAAATGAAATAAGACAGCATAAGTGAAAGCACCCAGTACAACTTGTGATGCTTAGTCAGTTTATACTAAATGTTACTTCCTTTCCCTCCAGAATGGTGACAGGTAGAATGACCTTCAACATTTTCAGAGTACGGTAAGATCCATCTCTACTTTCTGATCTCCCAGCCAGGCTGCAACCTCTCATTCAGAGGACAGCCAGACCGATCTCCACCTTCAATCCATTAAAGCCACAAGGAAGTGGTCAGGCGATTTTAGCAAGCCCTTCCCATGATTCACACACAGAAGCCAGACACGTGCTTCCCCACTGCAGGTGTGTGACTGCAAGTGGGTCCCCCCTGGTGTGGGGGACAGGGATGGATTGAAAGTGTCTTATCCAAATGCCCTCCAGCTCCAGACCCATTACCTGAAATCATTTTAGCCATAGGACTCCACAGCAGAGAACAGACAACTGAAGATTCTCTGCACTAATGCCAGCATGATATGCAAGACATCAAATGTCAATTTGTCTCAATCACAATTCTGTATGCACACGAAGAAAAAATCCTGAGACTTCAAGCTAGGAGGGTGGGCCACCCCACTCCCGCTCCCTTTGCTTTTAGGCCTCACTGTTATCTGTGTTGCCTTACTTACATGATCAGTAACTCCGACTCATATCGCATTAATTTATTCTTCTCCAGAACCAGCTTAAACCATTCTTGCAAAAGCTGTGTTTCATCCTGTGTGCCTGAATCTGCTTAAGAAATCAACGGCAAATGGGTTAGATTGGCATTTCTCTTCCCATGATCAAACTGCTTTGGATCTACTTTAAGGGGCCATGTTTGTAGCAAAAAGGGCTCTGCAGGCGCACCCCCCTGACGGCTTGTTGATGCCTCGAGATCATGGACATGACAAATAAAACCCACCTGTACATGCTCTGGGGGAGGTCCTCCTGGACATTTAGGGCATGAATACTTCAGCTCCATGAGCCATATACCCTTGACAATGGGCTGCCACTAATGATCCCTCTCCTGCCTATCTGTATGTCCTCCATAAAACTTCTATACAGGGCTTCCCTGGTGGCGCAGTGGTTGAGAATCTGCCTGCCAGTGCAGGGGACACGGGTTCGATCCCTGGTCCAGGAAGATCCCACATGCCACGGAGTAGCTAAGCCCGTGAGCCACAACTACTGAGCCTGTGCTCTAGAGCCATGAGCCACAACTACTGAGCCTATGAGCCACAGCTACTGAAGGCCATGCACCTAGAGCCTGTGCTCCACAACAACAGAAGCCGCCACAATGAGAAGCCCGCGAACCTCAATGAAGAGTAGCCCCCGCTCACTGCAACCAGAGAAAGCCCACGCACAGCAACGAAGACTCAACACAGCCAGAAACAATAAATAAATAAAATTTAAAAATTTATTTAAAGAAAAAAAAAACGTCTATACATTTGTGCATCACATCCTCCATCAAAGAAAACCCTAGTAGCCCTGATGGTTACTATCTCCTTCTCTTCTTCTGAATCAAATGCCTACTGAGTGTCCAGGTAGGGTGTGGCTCCCTTTATGGGGCAGGGAAGCTCACACTTCATTTAGTCACAGAGGAGCAGTAATTGGCATTTTGATTTTTTGCACAAAGCCAAATGATGGGGGAGAAAAAGGTTATTAGTTTTGAATCTCATAGGGAAAAAGTTATATCCGTTCACTCTTATAACTTAGATTATGACCTTTCTTCCTTTATTAAACAGAAGAATAACCATGAGAAAACTGGCCCTGCTTTTAGACATTCAGTGTTAGATGCTTAAATGTTTAGATAATAAAATGCTAAAATCTGGGCATGTTTCAGAAGCAGCAACATGGGGTGGCTTTCTAGTATTTCACCCTGAAATGGGAACACAGGCTGTGTTGCAAAGCTCATGGCCATTCTCGAAGGATTTATCCTGAAGCGTCCCGTAGGTGGAGAGGGAAACAGGGCAGACAGAAGATGTGACCTTGGGCAAGTAGTTTAACCTCTCAGAACCTCTGCTTCTTCATGGGGTAAACTGAACAAGAAGACACACAAGAAGTAATAGAATAATAATAATGAGCTGCTGTTTATAATTCAGGGTTACGTGCCAGTTGATGGGCTAAGTACATTATATTTAACTCCTCACAACAAACTCACCAGTAGGTTCTCTTATTATCAAGTGGTTTCTTCAACCACTTGATGGCTGAAGAAACAGAGGTTTAAAAGATTAGAATAACCTGCCCAAGCTCACATTTAGTAAGTAGCAGAGCTAGGACTTGAGTTCAAGGGAGCCTTATCCTAAGCCCATACTCTTCACTGCTTGTATACCCCTCCCCCGTCCTCATCCCTCCCTCCCTCCCTCCCTTAGGCCTGTAAGGTAAATAACGCCCCTAGCACATTGCCTTGCACACAGCAAAGTCATCCATAAAAATGAGTACTCTTTCTCCCTGACTCCTTGAACACCCTTTTGTTGATATGGAAACTGGGGTCCAGAGCAATTGATATGAAATGTCACAAATTATATATTTAGTTAATGTGCAAACTGATGCTACAATGCAGAACTTCTGATGAATTCATTCATCCATCCATTCAATAACACCTATTTATGGAATAGGTGTCAGGTATTGCCTTAGGTACTGGGGATACAGTGATAGATAATGCCACATTTCATAAGACTTTTGGAGATAGTAAGGCATAGTTCCTGCTGAAAAGGGTATTGTTAGATAATCTTTTGGATCAGATGGACCAAAAAGCTAAAATAAAGTAGAATATTAGAAAACTGTCACAACAACAAAGCAGCAAAAAAGGACTGGGAATACAGAGAAGGGAGGCTTTTCCTGGTCAGGGTGTGAGGGTGGGCTTCCCCAGAGGAGGTGATATTTGAACTGGGATGCTGAAGAATGGATAACACTTTGAGAGGAAATAATGAGGGTGGGAGAGGATATTCCAAGAAGAGGGAAAAATATGATCAAAGACTAGGGGATAGGATAGAAGATGGTGGAGACAGAGATCAGGAAGGGCTAAGGGGACATGGAGGGGAGGATGATGAGACCTTGGAGCGTATGAAAATCTACATATGATAGAGGCCCCTTAGCCATGCGAAGCCTCTTGTACTTAATGCTGTAGATACAAAGGGACACTGAAGGTGGTTGAGTAGGAGAATGATACCTGGAGTTTCATGCAGGAAGGATTAAAAGGGGAAGAGAAATAAATAAGATGTTACAGAGCACCAAGTTGAGCTTCCTGTGCTTTATAGCTTGTTCCCACTAGCTATCTATTTTACGAATGGTAGTGTATATATGTCCATCCTAATCTCCCAATTCGTCCCACCCTCCCCTTCCCCCTCTGTGTCCACATGTCCATTCTCTACCGTCTACGCCTCTATCCCTGCCCTGCAAATAGGTTCATCTGTACCATTTTCTAAATTCCACGTATATGTGTTAATATACGATATTTGTTTTTCTCTTTCTGGCTTACTTCACTCTGTATGACAGACTCTAGGTCCATCCACATCTCTACAAATGACCCAGTTTCGTTCCTTTTTATGGCTGAGTAATATTCCATTGTATATATTTACCACATCTTCTTCATCCATTCATCTGTTGTTGGACATTTAGGTTGTTTCCACGTCCTGGCTATTGTAAATAGTGCTGCAGTGAATATTGGGGTACGTGTATCCTTTTGAATTATGGTTTTCTCAGGGTATATGCCTAGTAGTGGGATTGCTGGGTCATATGGTAGTTCTATTTTTAGTTTTTTAAGGAACCTCCATACTGTTCTCCATGGTGGCTGTATCAATTCACATTCCCACCAACAGTGCGAAAAGGTTCCCTTCTCTCCATACCCTCTCCAGCATTTATTGTGTGTAGATTTTTTGGTGATGGCCATTCTGACTGGTGTGAGGTGATACCTCCTTGTAGTTTTGATTTGCATTTCTCTAATAATTAATGATGTTGAGCAACTTTTCATGTGCCTCTTGGCCATCTGTACAACTTCTTTGGAGAAATGTCTATTTAGGTCTTCTGCCCATTTTTAAATTGGGTTGTTTGTTTTTTTAATATTGAACCCCATAAGCCATTTGTATATTTTGGAGATCAGTTCTTTGTCCTTTGCTTCGTTTGCAAATATTTTCTCCCATTCTGAAGGTTGTCTTTTCATCTTGTTTAGGGTTTCCTTTGCTGGGCAAAGTTTTTTTCATTAGGTCCCATTTGTTCATTTTTGGTTTTGTTTTCATTTTTCTAGGAGGTGGGTCAAAAAAGATCTTGCTGTGGTTTATGTCAAAGAATGTTTTTCCTTGTTTTCCTCTAAAAGTTTTATAGTGTCCGGTCTTACATTTAGGTCTTTAATCCATTTTGAGTCTCTTTTTGTGTATGGTGTTAGAGTGTTCTAATTTCATTCTTTTACATGTAGCCGTCCAGTTTTCCCAGCACCACTTATTGAAGAGGCTGTCTTTTCTCCATTGTAAGTTCTTGCCTCCTTATAGATAGCTAGCGGGAATAAGCTATAAAGCACAGGAAGCTCAGCTTGGTGCTCTGTGATGATCTAGATGGGTAGGATGGTGGGGTGGGGTGGGAGGGAGGCCCAAGAGGGAGGGGATATATGTATACATATAGCTGATTCACTTCATTGTACAGCAGAAACTAACACAACATTGTAAAGCAATTATACTCCAATTAAAAAAAGAAAGAAAGAAGATGTTATTCTTTCTTAGGTTTCTTGAATGAATGACTGGATGGATGAATGGACTAACTTATAAACCTGTTGAGTACCACCATCTTCTGAGCATTGTTTGTGGTGCTGAGGGACAGGGATGAACAAGCACTGGTTCCAGCTGTTCAGGAAACTGGGAGCTTGCAGTCCAGTAGGAAAACCAACACTGCACAGGAAAATAGGACACAATGTGCCCCCTGCCATGCAACACAGGAGGGAAGCAATTCATCTTGTGTGGAGGAAGTGGGGAAACCTCAGAGAGGAGACAGTAGGTGAGCTCAGCTTAAGTGGATGAGTGAGAGGCAGGAGGAGGTGAAGAACAAGGCATTCCAGGGCATAGTTGCTGAATGAAAGAACGAAGTATATGGACTAGAGACCATATATAACATAGAAATTAAGAGCCTAGACTTTAAACTCAGGCTCGGGATCAAAATTCCATTCTCTGACCTATCACTGTGTGGGCTTAAGCTCTTAATAGCCTCCCTGAGCCTCAGTCTCCTCATTCGTTATAAAGATGCAGTGGAGGGCTCCCCTGGTGGCGCAGTGGTTGAGAGTCCGCCTGCCGATGCAGGGGACACGGGTTTGTGCCCCGGTCTGGGAAGATCCCACATGCCACGGAGCGGCTGGGCCCATGAGCCATGGCCGCTGAGCCTGCACGTCCAGAGCCTGTGCTCCGCAACAGGAGAGGCCACAACAGTGAGAGGCCCGCGGACCGCCCAAAAAAAAAAAAAAAAAAAAAAAAAAAAAAAAGATGCAGTGGGATTGCGCACACAAAGATCTTAGCCCAGCCCTGCCACTTAGTTTAAGCTCAATAAATGGTAACAGTCATTATTCAAATCATATACATGATGGGAGAACACTTAGGGGTCATCTCTCCCAGCCATGGAGGCCCACAGGAATTCCCTCTACCTCCCTCCCACCCCAGATTCTACTATAATTCTCCAAGGATGGTAGAATTCCCTGCTGTCCAAGAAGCCCACTGCAGGGCTGTGTACTCTTAAGTATTGAAAACTTCTTTCTTTTGATCTTTGATGGGTTG